CTCGCGGCCGCGGGGCGGATGGGCGCACAGGCCCCGGGAGCCGGGCGGGTGCGCCCAGGTGCACACCCGAGAGGGTCTGGACGCCGAGACAGAGGAGTCTGAAGGGGAGGCTGCCCTGCCTCAGTTTCCCTAGGAGAGCGGTGGTGGGAGGGCTGGAATTGGCCCACCGAATTGGGGAACCCTAAGGCCCCGGCTCAGTGGTTGGAGGCTCCCGGAAGGAAGGGGCCCTCAGCTGCTGGGGGGTGCATCGTGTTTTCTAGGTCCAGAGTGGGGTGACATCATCCGTTAGTGGGGTCAGGATTCCAGCCGGCCATCTGGGCTGGGGGAGCTGTACTCAGTGCTCCGCCTCCCCCGCTCTGGCACCCCCCTGCCCCGGCCCTCCTCCGCTGAGGGACTGAAACCCAGCCTGAAGGCACCTCTCTGAAGTCCAGCCTGGGTGAACAGGGCCCAGGCCCAACTCCTCAGCGGGGCCTAGATAGGGACTCTGCTCCAGCTGCCTGCCCCTCTGCCCCGTATGTGGAGGGCCAGCACCCCCTGTACACACGGGACAGAGGCAACCTGGGTGTCTCAGTCACACAGACCACGTGCAGAGCTGGGATATAGGGAGAATGTGGGTCCCGTGCTTGGCTCAGAACGCTTGTCACCCTGGGGAGCCACCCCCATGACCCTGGGGAGGGCAAGTGCTTGCTTCAGGAAAGCCCAGGCCCTGGGGCTTCAGTCCTAGGCATGGGCCTATTTGAGGCCCCAACCTGGAGCTGAACCTCATCCTTTCCCCAGGCCCCCCAGCATCAGCCCCTCAGGGGGACCTGTTGTTCCTGCTGGACAGCTCAGCCAGCGTTTCACACTACGAGTTCTCCCGGGTCCGAGAGTTTGTGGGGCAGCTGGTGGCTCCCCTGCCCCTGGGCGCTGGGGCCCTGCGTGCCAGCCTGGTGCACGTGGGAAGCCAGCCACACTCTGAGTTCCCCTTCGACCGGCACAGCTCAGGACAGGCTGTGCAGGACGCCATTCGTGCCTCAGCCCAGCGAATGGGTGACACCAACACTGGCCTGGCACTGGCATTCGCCAAGGAGCAGCTCTTTGCTGAGGCTGCAGGTGCCCGGCCAGGGGTGCCCAAGGTACTGGTATGGGTGACAGACGGGGGCTCCAGCGACCCCGTGGGCCCCCCCATGCAGGACCTCAAGGACCTGGGCGTCACTGTCTTCATCGTCAGCACTGGCAGGGGCAACCTGCTGGAACTGTCCGCTGCCGCCTCGGCCCCTGTGGAGAAGCACCTGCTCTTTGTGGATGTGGATGACCTGCACATCATCGCCCAGCAGCTTCGCAGCTCCATCCTCGGTAGGTGGGAGCTGCAGGAGGAGGCTGGGCTGACACTTCAGGGGGCTTACGTGCCCACACCCCACACCACGTGCCCACACTGTGGTGTCTCTGTGTGCTGGCCACGGACACCCTCACCTGCATGCCACCTGGGCAGAGACAGAGCCAGGTCTGAGTGGCCACCTCTAGATGGGGGTCCTGGGTCAGGCCCAATATCAGGTGTGGGCTGAGGGACTTGGGCTACAAAGTTGGGAGGATAAGGAAGGAGGTGCCTGGGCTGGGACCCTGCCTGTGTCACCCTACACCTGGGGAGGGGACAGCCAGAGAGGTCAGGGACTGCCTCCCCCAGGACTTAGGCCTTCCAGGTGAGGACAGCATGGCAAGGCCTCTTGTGGGGACTCCTAGGGAGGGACCCGACCAGTGCACTGCTGCAGGGCTAAGCAGCACCCACTGGCTTTTCTCTGAACCCTGCCCCCAGCCATGCCTCAGAGGGGGCCAGGCTGGAGACCAGAAGGCTGGCAGCTGGCGGGTTAATCATCCACCCTGAGCTGGAAGGATTGGTTTGTGGACTGGAAAGGGGTGGAGGGCCCTCCCCAAGATCAGCCTGGGGGCATCTGACCTAAGACCCCACAGACACAGTGAGCCTGGAGGGCACAGAAGGAGGTGATCAGTGGGTGGGGGTCCTGGGACTGTGGGCACAGTCTGAATAGGGGTGGGGTGGGCACTTCTGGCTCCTACCATTAGCAGAGGAAGTTCGGGACCTGGATGGGTGTGACCCAGCCCAGACACTGGCCAGCCTGAAATGGCCATGTGGCTGTCATCACAGGCTCAGGGGCCCACTGTGATCTGCCTGCACTACCTCCCAGGGACCTGGCCAGGCAGCACCCCAAGCCCCTGCTGCTTCAGGGATTGTCACCGACCCCAGGGCCTCTGCACCATCTCGATTGCACCTCTGGGCTCCCCTTGCCTCACTGTCCAGAGCCTGGAGGATCCCAGACTTGGTGCCAAACACTCGGTCTGGGGGTCTGGGCTTCCCAGACACCACTGTGGGCTCTGCCACTTTTGAGGGACCTTCACCCAGGCCACTGTCTGGGTGCTAAGTGGCCACTGTACTTTGCCTACGGGGCTGGGTTCCAGGCTGAGGCAGGTAAGGTCCTGATGGGGCTGCACCTCACAGGTGCCTATCACGGAGTTGCTCCTCCGTCTCCTTGGTCGATGACTCCACCTGTCCTGGGCTACCCTCAGTCTCCTTGCCTTCCCTGGGTCGCGCAGGGCCACTCCCTGGCTCGGTGGAGGCGACTTTGGTCCCCTGACCCACGCACCCTCCGCAGATGCGATGCAGCCGCAGCAGCTCCACGCCTCCGAGGTCACCCACAGCAGCGTCCGCCTGGCCTGGCCGGCGCTGCTGACCGCGGACTCGGGCTACTATGTGCTGGAGCTGGCGCCCAGCGGCGAGTTGGGAGCCGCCCGACGGCAGCAGCTGCCCGGCGACGCCACGGGCTGGACCTGGGCGGGGCTCGAGCCGGACAAGGAATACGAGGTGTCGCTGCTGCCCGAGTCCAACGTGCGCCTGCTGGCGCCGCAGCGCGTGCGGGTGCGCACGCTGCCAGGTGAGGGACGGGGCGCGGGCCTGGCGGGCGCAGGGCCCCGACCGCCTGCTGACCACCCTCTCCCTGCAGGTGAGGCTGGGCCGGAGCGCATCGTCATCTCACACACCCGGCCGCGCAGCCTCCGCGTGAGCTGGGCCCCGGCGCTCGGCCCGGCCGCGGTGCTCGGCTACGTCGT